CCATAAAACGAATGGCACGCATAGACTAATAATTGACGGCTGTACTCGCAACTAGTATCGGATTGTCGATGCCACAGTAAAGATCAAAGGACTGTACGCACGCGCTATGTTCGAGAGCGGAGATGTGCGTCCTTTTGTTAAATTACCTTGCTCTTAGTGAAAAAGTTTTCCTCCATTAGTGGAAAAGGAAGGGCGCCTTTTGCGTCTGGATATACTTAGCAACAGAAGGGCGCCCTGTACGTTGGGCACGAAGTATAGGAAACTTGCATGGTTAAAAAGAAGGGCGCCGCCTACGTTGGGCACGACTTCCGCCTCATTTTTACAATGCGAGAATTCTATCTTGTATTTCTAGTATCTTTGCTCAAATTAATTACATAGGCCTACAACTTATTTCAAGCAGAGCACTAACTCACATCAGCGACAATGGCAGCTATGGACAGCCTATTTCCAGAACTCTCGCGAATAACTACCACGTCGTTACCGGATGTAGCTTGGGAAGATGACACGACAACCACAGAGGTAGGCCTATGTCCATTGTCAAAGTTCATAGATTTAAAGGCGATTGATGTAAGAGGTGCGGCAATTGTGCTCAAAACCAATGTATGGCAAAGACAATATACATAGCTATTATTATATTACAAATTAAAACGACATGTATCTCTCAGAGCCACTCAGAGCTACAATGAGGAGTGTGGGGACATTGGTTATTACTGAAGCTTACCTATTGCATCTACGTCGCCAAATATTGTAATTATCATTATCAGGTTAAAATTAAAATGTTTAAAAAATTGTTGTGACGTCACTTTGATGACGTGAGCTTTCCCATTTACATGGTTTGTGATTCATGATACTGTCATGTTGTCCATTTATACAAGCTGCATAGGCTACGCTCTGATTTGCTATTATTAGATGAACAATTAAGCGTACGTTCGTGTTACAAATCAGTGATATTTTAAAGTGAATTGTTTATACTCTAATTCCAGATTTGAAAAGTATGCATGTTTTCCTAGAGTAACATATTTGTAACCTAATCCCAGAAAAAGTATACTATAGAACGCCATGCAAATAAGTAATATGGAACGCCAATTGTGCCAAAATCGTATTATTCTTAAGCATTTCAAACTGATTAAGACAAAGATTAGGGACTGGAACCCATAGTGGTCGGGTATCACACTACAATGTTCTGTCACATAATTGCACGCCTACGTTTAATCTGTGGCTATTTATTTATTTATTACTTTTTCTTTCAGTAGGGTGCAATCTCAGTGAAGACATTGCTCTTCCGAGTGGCCCTACGACACATTAACACATTACAATAAAAGAACTTAACTACTCTTAAATAAAATCATATTCCTTTTTTAAATAACACTCAATATCTACAAAGCATTTTAAAAGCAGATTTAAAATTGTTATAACTGCTCCAGATTGAACTTCCATAATATAAAATAACGTTTATATACAACTACGCAAATATAACCATTTTGATAAATTCTAGTTGGAATTTGTTTATTCCACTAAGGTGTATTGCAAAATATCAAAATGTATGATGGTATACATTCAAAACATCTAAATATTGTGCATTATGTGTGATATTCAATTCATTTTTCCAAAACTTAACCGTATTAAGTCCGAAATGCATTTGTGTTACTTGAGTTCTAATATCAACACATTAGCCTCGCAACTATTTTCTGAACTCTTTGCACTTTTAAAATATATGGCTTTGAACTAGTACCACAGACAGTTGCACAGTAGGCAAAATGTGGAAAAAATAGAGCAATGTATATTTTTTTTCATAATTTTAGGAGAAGTCAAACGTTTTATTCTGTAAAACAGATGTAGATTTATATATATATGATACACATCTGTTTTGCAAATGTATTATCAATCAATATGAACTTCCCATGTAAATTTTTCATCGAAAGTTGCTCCAAAATACCTTAATGTTTGGACTTTCTCTTATCAGGATGTTACCAAAATGTCACCGATTCATCCATTGCTCCATTTATTCGTGCAGAACTACCAAATGTCATGTACTTAGTTTTATCTATGTTAAGATTTAATTTATGTTTATCTAGCTATTGTTTTACGTTTCTCAATTGTTCTGTTAATACTGTTCTTCATTGGATTTACAGGCATAACAATGCAGTGTCGTCGAGGTACGGTTTTACAAGTCCTATCAACATTATCATGCAAGCTATTTTTATGATAAACAGCAAGGGTCCAAGAATTGAGCCTTAACGTACCCCATAGTTGATATTTAAAAATTCATATTGTTTGCCATTTAAGTTAACAGATTGTTCACAGTTTGATAAATAATCACTAAACCATGCAAGTTCGGTGTTCACAATTCCAATAGAGTGTAAATAAAATATCGTGGACTACAGTATCAAACGGTTTTTTAGGTCAAGAAAGATTGCACCAGTTATTAAACCATTATCAATATTTTTGTAAATATAATTGCAGACATCTATTAGTGTAGACTTCGAATGCAGCGATCTAAGTCGCATTGATTTTTACATAGTATATTAAACGCATTAATGTGATTCATAACTTTATTATGTATGCGTCTTTCAAAAAATTTAAACAATTGCTATAATTGATAGTTGTAAAGTGCATGTGCGTAAAAGCCTTGTGTCACAAAACAGATCAAAGGACATAAGGTTTCCTCTTCTGAGTACCTTTATTTCTTAGAGTTGGTCGGTCCAATAAAAAAAATAACAAAATAATTCGCAACGCTTCCTTGATCAATTCCTTGAACAGTACAGGATACTATTTACTCGTTCAATTCCACATAGGATACTGTAATCCACACAGGATACTGCACTCATTTTGAATCCACAGGAGATAACTTTAAACTTAATCCACACAGGATAATTTTGTGTAGTTGACACATACACTGAAAGTATTATATTCACTGCATAGTAATGTGTAATACAAACTTTGATCCACACAGTATACTTTACACTACCAAGTCCACACTTTGATAGTGACACTACAATATCCATTTTGTCCACACGGACACAAAAATCAGCTAACATCTGACTTTCTCTTAGTGCAGTTCCATCAACTAACTCCTTTTTCTTTCAAACTATTCTACCTCATTGCATAATCACCAGCTTCTCACTTCATAACATTGCATAACCCGTGTACTCTATTCTTCACGTCATACCACACCACTTTCAGCTTCAGCACAATACCTGACCATAAAAATTGATTAAAAATATCACATATGAACAATGTTAAATGTCAGTCCTCTATTTTGACTATAAAAGTATAAATAAAAAGTATGTGTGAACAAAAATAACCCTTGTCCACAATCCCATTGTGACACCGTGTTATCTTAGTACATTTCCATTCACTTGGGATAATACAAGATCTCAATTACCAGTTAAACAAAACAAAACAAGAGACTGAGAAATTTGTGGAGATACAACTTTAAGTAAGCTAGCGAAAATTTCATCAACTTCTGTAGATTTTCCAATTTCCAACTTTTTCAATAAAACTTCAATATCATCTTTACTTATATTTTTTTAATTGATAATGTTCTTGAAAAATATTCATTGATATTTCGCCTTGGTTTTCATTAAAATATTTAATATTTCATTTAAATATTTATTAAATTGGCTAGCAATATCTGTTGAATTGTATATTTCATTACCGTCTACATTAAGAGTTGTTTTATTTTTTGTTTTTATTGGGTAATTCTTTCATGGTTTTCCATAATTTTTTGCTGTCATTCGCATTTAGCTCTATTTTATTGTTTATGTAGTCACGTTTTTCTTAATAACATGCTTTTCTTAATCAATCAAGATTACGCATGACCATCTTCTTAAAAGTCCAACTCCTCGTACCACAATTCTCGGCACCCACATTCAGTACAACATGCCAGATGGCTCTCCCTGCTGGTTTACCATACGTATCGTAACAACCAACTATTTTATCCAATCTTTTTTCCACCACCATGCGCCATGCTCTTATATCAATTGTCACATACCTCCCACTAGTTCCGTTGCTCTGGATGTTCTTACATTTTATTGTGTTTGTTTTTTTATACTATTTGTTATATTTTTTTGATATTAGTAATTAGAAATTAGTTATTGAAATTTGTTCTTCACGACGTTTAATTATTTCCTTTCCATGCATGTGTGTTAGGGTTCTTGTGACATTCTTACTGAATAAGAAATGATTGATAACGGCAACTGTGTATAGCAAACTCAATGTAGAACGCAAGCAATGACTTTAAGGTTCGGATGAAAAGTAAAAGAACAAGCTTGGAAGAGAAATACAGTAGCTTGATGAGACTTATTACCGTAATGGTGTAGGTCTATATGCAAATCTCTGTGTTATGGACATGTACTCGGGATACATGTTTAAATTGATTTTAAGAAAACAAACTCCAAAAATAATATTTGATTGATGTTGACCGTTAAAATGTTTTATACTTTTTGTACCGATATCTCTATTAAGATTAAATAAAAAATAATGTAAAAATTGAAATTGAAGTAGAAAGGTAATTGGTAAAATAAACTATGTATAATACACTGTAGAACTGAAGCAAAGATTTTTAATTTTCCTTTTGTGTTTTTTCCTTCTGCTTTCTTTTCCTTTTCAACCATTTACTCTGGCTTTGTTCTTTTCTGTTGGCCTGGAAGCGCATACAGAGACGAATGTTATATGTGCTATGTAAGTGCACAACCATTTACCATTGACCATAAACATTTTAATCTTAAAAGAATGACAATGTTGAGTGCACCATTGAACATTATGGTATATCTATACAGTATAGGGTTAAGTTATGAGTGTATTTTTTTTATAACGTTAGACATATATAATAAATATTTTCGTGAATTTAATACTATATGTAACGCACTCTGCGTCAACGACCAAGCTGCCTTAGCCGTGGGTACCATGACAATTGTAATCTGGCTATCTAGGCTTTCTTTTCGCCGTACAACGTGTGTGTACACAGGTGGGCCTATGCCTAGGCTGTGTATTACCGTATAGAATTTCTAGGCCTATCTACTGTATATTCTTTGGTATAATCAAATGTAGGACTTCTTATATAATTGAACCATTGACATTACAAAGCATATTTCGTGAATTTAATACTGTTTTTGTTTTAGAAATTTTGTGAACATGTATTATTTATGATGTGTATATGGATGGTATGCTTTTTAAATGAAAGAAAAAATTTCAAAGAGAAAAAAATGTGATTAATTATTATTATTATTATTATTATTATTATTATTAATATTATTATTATTATTATTATTATTATTATTATTATTATTATTATTATTATTATTATTATTATTATTATTATTGTATTATGCTATATTATTTGACTATTTTACGTTGTATTGTAGAGAATGGAAAATTTTCTAAATAGTGCTTTGTGTGTTATTCATAACTTATCCAAGAGTATTAAACACCGGGAAAAGTTCCGCACTGCTGAAATGAGAAAGACACTTGACATTTATAAAGGATCACCATCATCACTGAGACGGATGTATTCTCTATCAGCAATTAGTTACATGGCAGATCCACACATAGATATGTCGCTACTGGAGGACAAATATGGTACGATCTAGGCATAGGACTGTCAATTAATGCCTTTACACCAAGGGTCAAACATTTCTACTCAACAAACTATGGATAATATAAGTCTATCTGATAGTGCATAAAACGTTAAAGCTTACCTCACTCTATAATTATAAGATCTATCCAATTAAAAGAAGGTCTTATTAACTGTACAGTTTATAGTTATTACTCAGAGTTCTTGCAATAGACCATAATGTCCCGGAGCGAAAAAATCGTAAGGATAGCGAAAATTATTTGGGAACTTTTTCGTTTTCTCAGTACACTAAATCAATCAATCCAATAGTATTCTAAATTTAAATTATAAATCATTTGGCTTATTCATATAGACGTGCCTCTAAAATTTAGTTTTGGAATTCAAGCTAGCCCTATCTCATCTAGCCTATTGTTTCAAACAGTTCTTGCCTGATTAATAACTATACTCGCCACTGAGGAAGGACTCGGGCTGTCCAAAAGCTCTGGTTCTATTTCTGGCTGTTTACTTTTAGCTGTTGCTTATCAAATTTTTATTTCTACTGAGAGATCCAGCCATTGTTTCCCACAGCATTGCTGTTTATCAGTATTTTGTCTTTTAAATAATATTTGTATAATATATTAAAATTTTATTCTTCAGGCGCAATCGTTGACTTGGCAGACTATTTAGATAAATCACTAATACCCGGTAATTCGACAGGGTGGTCTGTTCAGGAATTGGTGGAAGGAATGGCAAACCTGGCTGTACATCCTTTTAATAAAGATCAGGTAAAGTGACAAATAGTCAGTATCATGATATAGTTTATTTCGATATTAAAGTGTCCTTTACATTATTATTAGTAAGCGACTCTGAAGATTCTTTATTGATCTCTCTGCGGCGATGTGCTTTTCCTTGCCTTATGAGTATGCAATTCAGCATGTCTACATTGTAAAATTAGAGAAAGCACTAAAACCTTCGTTTATAATGTTGTCACCCAAATTAACGTCATTTATTTAAATTTACCATTCACATACCAAATAATTTTGATACTTTATTATTTCTGCAGATAATAGACAACTCACTGCATTTGTTTTACAAAATACTGGAGAGCAATATCAACAAGAACCTGACATGTTATGTGAGACACGTTCTGGACAGATGGGGATTCAGTGACGTGGTCGTGGGATCCACTACCGGTTTGGAACAATGCCAAAGAGAAAAGGAAATACAAATTAAAAGTATATTCACCATCAACTTCCTCAGAAGAACTATCTTCTATTGTAGTAGATTTTTTAGCCAGAATATTTTGTGAAATATGTCATTCGCTTCTGAGCTTGGAGTGTCATATATACACGGGTTCGTGTGCACGGACCACGCCCATATGCAATTCAGCACAATGACTTAACCGATATCATTTTCATAAGTATACAATACATCTTCATTGATAATACAAAGTAAACTGATGTGAAACTGATCATTGGGACCCCTGATACTTTATAACCGATTCTTTTTATAAGGTTTAGTGTGTGGTACTGAACAGGACTTTGATGGGAGGATAACTCCACTCTTAATATTATTATCATCATTATTATTATTTTTATTTTCATTTTATCTTTATTTCTATTTTTATTTTTATTATTATTATTATTATTATTATTATTATTATTATTATTATTATTATTATCGTCGTTGTCGTCGTCGTCATCCTCATCATCATCATCATCATCACCATTATTATTATTATTATTGGGTTGATTTTTTTCTTTTTTGATAATCCAATTAATATTTTTTTAAAATATTAAGAAAAACGTATTCACACGAGTTTCGCTGATACTCTATCAGCATTCTCAAAGTTAACTGTTGTGTTACTGCTTGTTATAGTATAACTTCGGTCATGTTGAGGTCGAAGTGTGACCATGGTACAGTTTCTGCAGTCGGAAATAAACAATGATTTTTATCTCCTTTATTTTCTCTTCCCTTTTTAATCAATTGAGGATGGCCACGAGTTTTCTTTTGTATTTTTTGAGTGAGATTTTCTTTTATCTGTTCCTAGACTGTTGTGTCGTCTAGCATGACCTTCACCTTTTAAACTTAGTTTTATTTGTATTTACGGATCCTCTGCCCTTATCAGCTGGAAGAATCATGATCACCTTTTCCTTTTTTAGATCGTTTAAGACGAATCTGTTACATTCTTGGCAGGTACTTTTGAGGAATTAATATTGTTGTGATCTTACATCTGATGAGATCTCGTTCGGCTTCCGGTGCTTACAGGCCGCTTGGTATCTGTAGTTAGTTTAGTTAATTTATTCGACCAGCAGAGAAATGGTCGGGGGCAGCTTAAGCAAAAAAAAATCACTATATCTGTTTTAAGTCAGCTGCCCCCTCACCGCAAATTTCAATCCCCGTCCAAGTTTTTTTTTGTTGAAATTCTGTATATTGTCTCTGTCCCTCTGTTCGTTACCTTATCAATTTTTCCGCCAAAAAAGGGGTTTTCGATTTCTAGTTTCTTTATGTTTCCCGTGGTTATTCTTATCAACATTTGTCGCTCTGCATTTTTGATAATTTGTTTCCCTCTAGTTGTGTTGATCTGATCGAGGTTATACTATGACCATAACACCACAGTTCACTTGAGAATGCTGATAGCGTATCAGCGAAACGTCGTGTGAGGTACGGTTTTCATATTTTTAAAAATGTATTAATTAGATCATCAAAAAGGAACAAATGAACAAACTTTTAATATTGGATCCAGATGAATTATTTAAGTGATGGTTATAATTATTTATTATGTGTTAGTTATTAGTTGTTGCTGCTGCTGTTGCTATTATTATCTCCGCCAGGAGATATATATTTTCGTTCGTGTAAGTTTTGTGTGTAGGTGTGTGTGCGTGTGTGTGTGTGTTTAACGCTTTGCTGTTTCAGTTTTTATGTGTTAGAAATATCTCAAAAACGGCTGCACAGACATAACTGAAAATGGCAGGGAATGTTAGGTATTATAACCCAGTAAAGAAATGATTAAATTTTGGTGACAGTCCGGAGTAGGGTGTGTTGTGAGGACCATTTAAAGGGATTTGTCCTTGACAAGATATCTCAAAATCATCAACTGATATGAATGAAACTTTTCGTGACCTAGGGTTTTAAAACAAATATTGCTTTACGGAATTTCTATAAGTTTAACCAAGTTACAAGGAAGAAATTTTCAAGTATTGGTCACGATCCAAATTCGCGGGTGAACTTGAGGGTCATTTACATTTTTAAGGTTTTATGTGTTTCTTGTGTTCAAAATATCTCAAAAACAGCTGCATAGATTTAAACGCCCGTTACAGGGATTGTTAGGTATGATCCAAGGATGAGGTGATTACATTTTGGTGACCATCCGGAGTAGGGTATGAATATGGTACAAGGAAGAAATTATGGAGTGTTGATGACGGTTCAAATTCGGGTGTGCATTTGAGGGCCAAATGTCCCGAACGTGCCAGGAATTGGCAGGTGTACAACTGATACAATAAAAGGTGTTCGAAAAGTAAAGTGATTATATTCAAAGCAAAACGTCACAGATCATGATTGCTCAAAAACCGAACAACTCATCTAAATGAAACTTTCGTGTTACTGTAATTTTTTTAAAGTAGATTGTGGTTAGTGGTTGGAAGCACATATATTTGAAAGATTTGCGGTAAGCGGAGATATGCTCTCTACAGAGTGCTATTAGGTCTATGATTATTATTAATGTTAGAAATGAATATCAGTTAACATAAATAATTTATCGAAACATTATTCTGTATCAAATTTCAGGTGAACAGCATCATGATTATGACACAAACAAATCGACTGACAATATGCAAATGTTGGATAATCTTCAGTGCGTTTTGTCTGAATGTGACAGTTTTGGTACTAATGAAGTTATGGAAATCATCGGCGCAGTCAAACGTATCGTTTTAGACAAAACGAGTAATAAACAGAATGTCCTCAAACACTTCGCAATGCACGAATGGCCAGGTAGTCTATAATAATCATGATTTTACACAACTTAGGCTCACAGTGACTTTGTCCAATGTTATGTTGACTAACACTATCATTTTTTCGAAGTCTGGTGAATTTTAAGATGAGGTTCTCTTGCAAATTATTTATTAATAACAGTATAGGTCTTAACCTATTCATAATTTGCAGTAGCATAACGCTTATGCGCTCTCTTGCGGCGGTCCGCAGGGCCTGACCCTAGGGGCCCGGGGTCCCATCCATAGGGTCCTTGCTCTAGTACAGTGATGCAAAAGTGGTTGATACATAACAGCATATTGCGTCTCTCACATCAACTGTAGGATATATACCATGTCCAGAGGCGGAATAAAGTGGAGACAAAAACAAAATTATATTCAAATATTAAGTCTGTTGGTGCAATTCCGGCAGCTTAGCAGATGGATGTGGACGTTTTTTTTTACGTGCTCCCTATGGTGGTAACATCTAATTTTTGGTAGGAACCACTCAATCCAAGGTTCGGTATGGCGGCCATCTTGGATTTCAAAATGGCCGCCATGTAAATCTATATTTATCTATATCCCTGCTTGTAGACCACTTAGAATTACAATTCTGGTGTCTAATCATATATTTCCAGCACCAGGAATACTATTATGACATTTTTGACAAGGTCAGGTGATCAAAAATAGGACACTTAAGGTCATTTCAGGTCAAATATTACATAACATTTAAAAAATTAAGTTTTTAGTCGTGTTTTACTGCGGAATCATACACATATTGAACCTTTATATAATGTTATTCAGTTCCTATCGATAGACATACATCTATGATGTGCATGCAAGAAAGCTGTCTCTTATACACATCTAGATGTGTATAAGAGACAGTATATATATATATATAACTCCTGACATATAACGTTTATGCTTAAAAACAGATTGTAGTTGTAGTGTAGCTTTACAAGCTAAGTTATTAGTAAATTAGTTAATAAACATATTTTCCCCAAAATAAAACATATAATTATATACCTGCCACTCATATTGGTACCATAGATGTATGTCTATCGATAGGAACTGAATAACATTATATAAAGGTTCAATATGTGTATGATTCCGCAGTAAAACACGACTAAAAACTTAATTTTTTAAATGTTATGTAATATTTGACCTGAAATGACCTTAAGTGTCCTATTTTTGATCACCTGACCTTGTCAAAAATGTCATAATAGTATTCCTGGTGCTGGAAATATATGATTTATATATATGATATATATGATTTATATATATGATATATATGACTACATTCGTTGAGAGCTATGCTACACGATGTATTTATTAAGTCCTTTATTCGAACACTGTATTTACCTTTCTTTGATGATTTATATATATATATATATATATACATATATATATATATATATACATATATATATACATATATATATATACATATATATATATATAAACTATATATATATATATAAAATGGGCTGTACCAAATTTTACATACATTTTGAAGTAAAGTTTTTTGCAAATAAGTAAGCATGTGACAAACAAGGTGGAATACATTCACATAAGGTGAATTTTTCCTCATTTTTTTGGTATTTTTATAGCTTAAACAGAGCATATATAACTTGATAGCTTGATATGTCTAAAGTTTTGTTTCATAATGATAAAAGGCAGTAAAATAAATGCCACCATGAATGGACGCAGCGGGATTTTGAAGAGCAAGCTGTATCTTTGACTCACGTATTCAATGATCTGGGAAATCCTTTTCTTGATGACACTGATGAGTTATTTGCTTTAGACACAAGGAATATTTTTGATTCATCTGTGGTTGTGCGTACAATTCAAAATTTAGGGCAAAGCCAATATGAGGACTACTATAGCAACGTCATTATTGATCGCATACGCTCCATACCTGATCCAATTAAGAAGAATAACCTTTCACTTTTTCGATCTCCGAAGAAAACAGCTAAAACCAAGCAAGCAGGAACAATTTCCTTACTTAAAAATGATGTTGCTTTGTTTTCTCGTCTGTATATAATAATGCAACACAGACTAAGTTATGAACATTTTTTTTTTGCCATGAGGATCATCCATTTCCTCCATCAATATCCGAGGAAAGCAAGCTACGCTTTGGAAAGAAGTCTGATCTGATGAATATTTTGGCTATGGATACCCACACTGATCCACCTAATGCCATTGATGTGAAGGGTCTTGACGGAGCTGCTGTGGTCCACCTGCTTTCAACCAAGTCAGCTTTGGCGTTTGATGACTACGCTGACCAAGTTTTTGTTCCATATATTATGCAACAGCCACAGAACGCTAAACGATTTGATGTTGTCTGGGATACATATATCCCAAATAGCATTAAACAGTCAACAAGGGGAAATCTTGGAAAAGGTGTTCGTAGAAGGGTTACTGGTAAAACCAAGCTTCCGGGAAACTGGCCTGACTTCCTACGTGACCCAAACAAAAAACAAGAGCTGTTTGCATTCCTTTCCAATAGGGTTGCAACTGTAGATTTCCCTGAGGAAAAGGAAATTGTTATCACTTCTGGAAGTTCATCTATTGCCCGAGGAACCGATCAAGGTATGCAAAACTGCAATCATGAGGAAGCAGACACCAGGTTGCTGATTCACATAAAAGATGCTATCCTCAATGGTTGTACCAAATGTCTGAGTGCGAACTGTTGACACAGATGTCGTGGTGATTCTAATTGGAAAGTTGCAATACCTGCTCAGACAGTGTCAAGATGTAGATATTTGGGTAGCCTTTGAGGTGGGTTGGAATTTCACCTACTATGACATCAATTGTATATATGAAAAGCTTGGCAGTGAGAAGTCTCTAGCTCTGTCTGTCTTCCATAGTTTTACTGGATGTGACACAACATCTTCATTCTTTGGAGGGGAAAAGTCTGCATGGGCAGCATGGAGTTCATATGAAGATGTCACACGTGCCTTCACATATATTGGCCTTAATCCTTTTAAAGAAATTGTACAGCATTTACAGCTTTTAGAACGCTTCACAGTTATTTATACAATAGGTCCAGTTGCTTGGATTGTATTAATGATGCCAGAAGAGAACTGTTTTGCCAAAAGAGCAGGACAATGGAAGCACTTCCTCCTACTCAGGATGCACTATTGCAACATTCAAAGCGAGTTGCATATCAAGCTGGAATTTGGTGTTCAAGTGATCAGTGTCAACAGCATGTTCCTTCTCCAGGAGGTTGGGCTGGACATTCAACAAAGATAAAGACTCATGGGTTCCTGTATGGAACACGCTACCTATTACCTCTAAAGCATGTAGCGAATTAGTTAAATGCAACTGCAACAGTCAAAGTGGATGTGGCACTAGATGTGCATGCAAGAAAGCTAGTTGGAGGTGCACTGAACTCTGAGGTTGTCATTGTCTGAAGAATACAAGGTCATCATGAACCATATGTTTGTATATATTTTTGGAGAGTGTAAGTTTAGATTGGATTGGATTATAAGGGCGGTGGGTTGACCTCTTTACTGTACACAATGACCTGGACCTAAAATGACATCAATTTACCTTAATTACCTATATATAACCATATTACCATGCCACAAATAATATAATTACTCGACCATGTAAACATACTGTTAGACATCACAATTTTAATTTGGAAATGTGAAAGATGCTGAGATATACACAATTTTAGGTTTCCATGGTGGCCATCTTGAAATCAAATATGGCTGCCATGAGGACCATGGAAGAAATAGTTTCTATAAAAAAATGAATTATGTGAGCATGAGTAATATTTTCCAGTCAAACATGACAGCTAATTATTATTATTATTATATTTGACCTAAAATGACCTTGAATGACCTATTTTTGACATTTGACTATGTCACAAATGGTATAATAGTATTCCTTGACCCTCTGAACACATTCTTCAACATCAGAATTTGTATTATAAGTGGTTTAGAAGCGGAGATATAGATAAACATACGATTTACATGTCGGCCATTTTGAGATCCAAGATTGCCGCCATAGTGACCTTGGATGAAGTGGTTCCTACCAAAAATTGAATGCTATGACCATAAGGAGCATGTAAAAAAAATTGATGCTTTTGTCCGGAACGTCCACATCCATTCCAAGTTTGGCACTAAGCCGTCATAATCATAATTTTCTTACTCTTATCTTAGCCCCAGCCATGGTGGGATTGAGGTGGTACAGATCATCCATCTGTAAAATAGATGCCCTCTATTTCAAATTTCTGGATCCGCCACTGATACCATATCATTTATTTCGTCGTTAAAAGACAATGACAAAAGATAATTAAAAAACGCGCACACCTTAAAACCCACGATTGGCGACAGGGACCCAGAAAGGGCCTCGGTCTCAGAAAGCCACAGGGCCCCCGGCCCCAACGTTGCGCCATTGATAATTTGTAGACCTGTCAAACCAGCTCATTTACTGTTATTAGGTCTACTAGTCCGTATTATTTCTGATGTGTGGAAACCAAACAAGGAGGTGTACACCAATGAGGTATTGTGGTCGATCATTACAGACACCATTGATACCATGATTACATACAGCGATGTTGATGTTGAGTGTGCAGATATTCTTATTGAACACGGAGCATTAGCAATAATGCAAGAAGTTGCTGATGCGTATTATCACCACTTTAAACAAAAGGTAAGTTCATTTATTGGAGGAGCACAAAAAGCACATTTTATCACAAAATTAAAATTAATGGCGCTGAAATTTGTGATTTTAGCTTTTTTCCACCAAGATATTGGTGAAGGGATTACTGAATGCAATAACTTCGAATATACAATTAGTTATGATTTAGATATATTTCAATTCATTTGCGTTCTTATTTACACAAATTTTCCAACAACCGTAATTATTTCTGTGAAAGGCAAATTGTTTCCAGTGACAATGAAAACCGAAGATAACATTCTACATCGATATTGTTATTATTCAGCAGTATAGGCCTAATAATATCAAAATAAGTTTTTAAGTATTTTCTGAATAGATCCGTGCTCTTCATGATAAAGTAAGTGAATATAGAGGTGAAAATAGTGGAGAACTAAAAGCAGATAACCGGCAGTCAAAAGACCCGACAAAAACCAATATATCAACTGGACAGCCAGGAACAGACGGGTATCAGTCAATGGGCTCGACGACACAAACAAATATACCAAGTGTGCAGGAAGAAGCAGACGTGCATCAGTCAATGGGAGCGACACAAACCAATATACTAATTGGCCAGGAAGGAGCAGACGGGCATCAGTCAATGGGAACGATACAAGCCAATGTACCAAGTGGCCAGCAAGGAGCAGATGGAAGTCAGTCAATGGGACCGACACAAACTAATATAAACAATAAATCAAGTTCAGAGATATCAGAAACAAGAGAAGTAATCCTAATAGTTGCATAATTAATTACAAAATTTGAAATGTTAAGCGTTTCAAATTTTGCATATACTGTAGTCAGTAGACACTTCAGAATTTATATATATTTTACTTTTTTATTTTTTGTATATTTTAATCAACCAACAAAGATAGAAACCTATACTAACATTTTGGAGAAAAAAACATACAAATAAAAACAGTATAGGCCTATATAAAAGAATTTCATGGCAACAATAAGACGAAGAATGTCTACGTAGGCCTATGAGATTTTAAAAATAGAATACCTTAAAACTATGTATTATGCAATACCAATACCAGTT